TATTGTAAAATAATATAAAAAAATTTTTCATCAATTGTGTAACGATTTTGTGACGTATCAACGGTTCCCCCTGTTCAGTTACACTTATGACTTTCTCTAATTTACAACAAATAAATTCTGTTGATTTTTTAAAGGAAGTAAGTTAATATTTAAAAGCATATAACCTTATTAATATAATTTATATTGTATATTTATACATAAGTTCTACCAAAATTATTCTAAGGTTGAAGAATATATAAAGTCAACTAAAGTGTTTGGATTTACACAAGATATATCCACCAATGAGTATATGATAGTATTTGATGAGTTTTATTGTAAAAGATTTTCCGATCATGGGCAATGCATACAATGCAAGAGATACAACACTTCTCTAGCTTGGTGTCAAACATGTGATCCCACGAGAACAGCACGAGAGTGGATGAGTGGAAATAACGATATCGATGATTATATTAAAAAATCCCAATTTAAGGCTACAAGTTATAACGACGTTATCGAGTGGATTCCTTTTAATAAATTAGAAAACATACAGAAAATTAGCGAAGACGTCTTACATACGAAATTTTTAGCAGTCTGGATTGACGGCATACGATCCGTTTCTAAAGTTGATAGAGAATGCGTACAATTACGTACACCACAATGTACAGTTACGCTTATGACTTTTTTCGATTTACAAATAAATTCTGTTGAGTTTTTAGAGAAAGTAAGTTAGTACTTTAATGTGTATAAATTTATTAATATTTATGGATAAGTCTATTTGTAACAGCATGTTACACGCTTATTTGTAACAGCTTGACCTATAACTTAAAATTTTACTAAGATAATCTCTTTTGTACTACTAATGAAAAATGATCCTCTCGAGATTTTGGATTAACCTTGATACTAACTCTAAACCTAATCTAACCTACCTCTAACCTTAACACTAACACTAACACTAACCCAACATTAATAAACTGTTACAAATAAGCGTGTAACAGGCTGTTACAAATAGATATTTCCTTATAAAAAAAATCAGATCATCGATTATTATCAAAAAAAAAACAAAAAAAAAACAGATTATCTCAATAATATTAATAATAAAACTTGCTTTGCAACGTTATCATATCTTAATTTAATATCATTCACTTTTTGTAAAAATAATGCTTCAAATCTATCCATTAAAATAATGCATTGCAATCCTGGCTTCATGTTGTATCTGCAGACATCAAAAGATGAAGAGTCCATACCGATATTAATAATATAAAGTGCGAACTGAGTAAGGTGGCTGATGGCTGTGGTTAGGGATGCTAATAGCTCGACTCAAGTCGATGGCTTGGGATGTTAAGTTGATGATCATTTTATCATCAAGCTAGTCGACTTGAGTCGATTAATGATAAATATTTAAGGAACCTAATTGTTAAGTTTAATCAACAATAGTAATAGGTATATTCAGTTAACAATAATGATAGATATACGTATTTAGTAAATTAAATTTGTATTGCATATAATTGTTAAAATTAATTATGTATAAATTATATATAAAGTGTGATAATAAAGTTTTTTTAACTTTTTACTAACGGATAAAATGAATACAACGAATGAATTCGATCAAAGTTTTGAAGATTATATTAATTTTAATGAATATATTACTGAAATGGAAGAATTAGAATCTAGCGAAATGCTTAATACAGATATGCAAATCTTTGAAATTAATAGTTCTAATATTGATTACGAAGAAGATACTAGAATTGAAAATTCTACAGTAGAGATTGAAGAAACTAATTCTGAAAGTTCTAATAGATATATTGCCGATGTTTGGCAATATGTAAACAAGGATAACCGACAATGTCCAGAATACACTACTATATTTTCAGCAAAAACAAGTACAACTGTCATACGAGATCATTTACACAGACATGGAATATTAAAAAAAAAAGAATTATGTAAATCACATCCTGAAAAAGAACAGATAGAACGATTAATTCTTTTAATCAAGTGGATTATTCAAAGCATGCAACCTTTTTCTGTAGTAGATGAACTTTCATTTCGTGAATTACTAAATAAACTTGATCCACTATTTAAAATTCCAAAACGACAATCAATTCATAATAAAATTTTGGATACATTTATGAAGCAACGGCAAAAGCTTAATATAATAATTAGTAATATTCCTGGAAAAGTATCAATTACTACGGATATATGGGCTAATATTAAAATGGAAAGTTTTCTTGCTCTTACGATTCATTATATTGATAAGGATTGGCAATTACAACATTTTACTCTAGAAATACTTAAATTTCAAGGATCTCATACGGGAACAGCTATTTGCAATTTTATAATGTCAATTTTGAATGAGTTTAACTTAACTCAGAAAATTGCTGCTATTACAAGTAATAATGAAGCAAATGTAGTTAAAGCATGCAACAAAATAAAAACAAAACTTGATTCGAATGAGTTCACACATTACCGTTGTATTTGTCATATATTTAATCTTGCAGTAGGAAGTGGATTAAAACAGGTTGAATCATTGATTAAAAAAGTAAGACGGCTAGTAAAAGCAATACGTGATTCTTATACATATTTGGAAGACTTGGAACGATTTCATTTGGCTGATCAAAAGAAATTTCTTCGACCAATTCTTGATATTAAGACACATTGGAATTCTGCATTCTATATGCTAAAACGTCTATTAGTTCTTAAAGAATATCTAGATATAATTATACTACGTCACTCTTTATTACAAGATTTATACCTAACTCAAAGTGAATGGGATTATATCACAAGTTTAGTAAAATTATTAGACCAATTCGAAGTTGCTACAAAAGAATTATCTGCACAAAATTATCCTACCATTGCTCATGTACGCATTATTTTACTAAGCATTTGTAATGACTTAAAAACATATAGTATCAATGCTAATTTAAAAGAGGTCTCTGCGGCTATTTATGGCAAATTACAAAATTATTGGCAGCATATTGACGAAATAGCACATGTGGCTGCATTCTTAGATCCACCTATAAAAAGCTTTGTTTTCTTGGAAAAATGGATCAAGAAATTTTTAACCCCATACAATGCCGGCTTCCTATGAGTAACACAAATACAACACCAAATCGAAAAGTATCAATGTTTGTAACACGGTTAACACAATATTCACCAGATGTATAGCAAATAGATGAAGTACAACATTATTGGAACCTTCCACTTTATAATGATGATATCGAACCATTAACATGGTGGAAAATGCACCAGAAAGAATTTCCATTATTATCTAGTCTTGCACGAGACTATTTATCAATTCAAGCAAGTTCTGTACCTTGCGAGCAGTTATTTTCGATTGCTGGAGCTGTTATTAGTAAACAAAGAAATCGAAAGTGCCCGTGCGTGTCTTTGCTTAAAAAGCTGGATAGATAAAAATATTCTTGGACCTGAATTCGAAAGTATGTATTATTTAATTAACTTTATTCCCGCAATTCTTAAAGCTAAATTTATTTAATATATTAAATAGGTAAACACAAATAAAATAATAGTATTACATTTGTACTATTTTCTTTTTTTTTATTATTTATTATATATTTTGTTATAAGTATTAATATTTCATGGCGAAATAACAAAGTCGAATAATAATAAAATTAAAGAATCGATTACTCATATAGCTGTCATTTCTATTGCAAAGTTAAAGATAATGCAAGCACATATATATTATTAATTTTATTTAAAATATTTTATGTAATATATCAGAGTCCATTACGAACAAAGAAAACTTCTTTGATAGTATTGAACATATTAAAAGATCGTGTGTTGCATGCATTCTATAAGACTGAACAAACCCCACGAATGAGAGCTTTGCTATTATTAAAAGCCTAATAATAAATAGCATAAAGTTTATAAATTACCTTAAAAAGGTCAATTCTCTCGTATGATGAAAACATAAAGACATTGAGAGCATACACTATATTCGCATGTCTGCCATAAATCCTCTAATTATACATTTTTGGTGAATTGAAGGTCAATTCAGTATTCGTTGATTCTCCTAAAGCACATTGAGAAAATGTTACATGAACTTAACTACGTTTAAGCAACCATTATGTCATGAATAGGTTTGAAATTTACCTTCATCGCTCTGCTCTCCATGCATATGCACTATCACTACAATCTACAATTATCTTCCTATGTAACTTAGAACTAAAAGTGTTCAAAACTAGAACTTCAATGATAACAAAAAACGGTTCAATACAATGCCCAGGTAAAGAAAAAGCAGCTGACTATATATACACGTATGTGGTTTCAAACTCTAAAAGCTAAGATCTATATTAGCAGCCTGTCAATTAAAATATAGTAAAAGAATCGTGTGTACTTAGTAACATTGAATTAATAACATAACAAGTCACCTAATTCTTGTTGAGATCTTTAGCTCGCTTATTGAAAAATAATAACATACAGGTATTTGTCTTCTAATATATTTTTCAGTTGCGTTAATCAAATTTCGTGTTATTTGTCGAAGTGGTATAGATAGATTTCAAGCTAAGTTCGCGCAATAGTAGCTTGGAGCGTTAATATAGATTATCAGTTATTATAAGTTCTAACGCTAACGTACGTATGTACGTACGTACGTAAGTACCAGGCACTAAATTCAGGGGTATCGGTATTACGTAATACATGTAACAATGGACGGGCTCATGTGATCGGCTAGAAGCCGACTTGAGTCGACTCAGGGGTAAAGTCAATGCAAGTCGAGTCAAAGTCAGTCGAATTGAGTTGTTAGCATCCCTAGCTGTGGTTCAACTGCACATGATGATCAGCAAATAAATTATTGGTACGTAGAAACAAATTAGGAGTTTGTATTACCGGCGTAAATAAGTAAAACGGGCATAACCTGGCACAGAATCCCGATAGCTAAATTTTTTTTCAAAATCTTGCAGTATTTGACCCGGTCTGGTTATGAGAACCTATTTATTAAGTTTGTATGGTCTTAAGCTATGAGAGGTTTAACTGTTAGCAAAGGCTTTCGTCTTTCGTCAGGGGTTTCGTCTTTCGTAAGTTTCGTTTCGCCTTTAATTTTTTAATTTAAAACCAGATTTGTCTAACAATTATAGATAATTAATGATCTTTTCATTAACTATACGCATATTTATTTGTTCATAATTCAGTTAAAGCAAACGCCATTGTATAATCTTCATATTGAAAAAGGTGGTAAAATGGTTAGTTATCATCATAATTATTATCTATGCCGGATTTTTGATTATACTAATTTTTTTTTTTTTTTTTGATTCTTCAAAGGTTCCCTTTGCTGGATGGTCTATGCCTGTATATTACGCAAACCAAGGTGTACTATCAGAGCACATACATACTCGAGAATATGCATCTTTATTTGATGTTTCACATATGCTTCAGTTTAAGTAATAAAATGACACTCTTAATTTTATCTTCGATTTTCTTCATTCACATCTCTATATTTAATACTATGATAAATTTATAGAATCCTCGGAAAAGACCGCATACGTTTTCTTGAAAGCTTGGTTGTTGCCGATCTTGAGGAGATGCCATTTGGTTCCTCTACTTTATCGGTTTTCACTAATGAGAATGGTGGAATTATTGATGATACTGTCATTTCTAAACATGCTGATCATCTTTATGTCGTATCTAATGCAGCCTGTGCGGATAAAGATTTAGCTCATATACGTACTAAAATGGGTGAATTTCAAAAAAAAGGTGGATGGGTTGATTTAAAAGTTATTGACGATCGTGCTCTGCTGGCTTTACAAGGTACTACACACTTTTCTATGTATTATATTTAACAGACTTAATAACCTGTTATGTTAAAGGTCCCCTAGCTGCTGAAATCCTTCGAAAATTGTGCGATAAAGATATATCAGATTTTTCGTTTATGACTTCCCGTTTTTTTAATATCAAAACCATTGAAAGTCATGTATCACGTTCTGGGTACACTGGTGAAGATGGATTTGAAGTAAGTTTTGCATGGTATTCGAAACCTTGCAATTAATTTTTAAAATGGTTAAATCACTTGGTATTTTTTATATGGTTTGTGAGAAGGAAAGATTAATAGACCTTGTTTTTTGAATATCTTATTTGGAAATTGGAAATTAATTATCTATTTTTCAACCTCATCGCAAAATTAATACAAAAATTTATTACGAGATTACATTATTTAAATTTTAAATAGAAAATTTACAATTTTGATATTTTGATCATGTAGATATCTGTTGTTGGAACAAGTTCTCAACGACTAGCAAAGTTAATATTAGGTTATCCAAGTGTACATTTGGCTGGACTTGGTGCGCGTGACAGTTTACGCCTCGAAGCTGGTTTATGTCTGTATGGTCATGATCTTGATGATTCAATAACACCTGTGGAAGCCGGATTATCCTGGACAATCGGTATTTTCCATATTTATTATGTCAGTATATTTTTCCAATATTTCATCATTTGTTTAATTAAAAATTAAATAGGGAAACGTCGTAGAGTAGAAGGTGGCTTTCTAGGTGCTGATCGAATTCTCTCCCAACTTAAAGGTGGTGTAGGGCGTCGTCGTGTTGGTCTTATTATTGAGGGTGCACCTGCAAGAGGTAATATTAATTAAGTTATTATTGTTTATCTTACATTTTCATAAATTTTTTTTTTTTTGATCGCACAGAAAAATCAGAAATTTATAATTCTTCTGATGAATTAATGGGTAAGTTTGTTATTCTATAATTGTAATTATTTATAAATTTCCTAGATTTGATATTTTTTTTTATGTTGTGAAAATTAGGCAAAGTAACAAGTGGAGGCCCATCACCAACATTAAATAAAAACATTGCAATGGGGTATGTAAAATCTGGATATCATAAAAGTGGGACTTTGCTTAAAGTCAAAGTTAGGAATAAATTGCAGGATGCCAAAGTTGTAAAGATGCCTTTTGTTCCTTCTAGATATCATAAGATATAAATAAAAAATAGATATATTGATTAGTAAACTAAGGTAATAACAGATATTATATAATATTCTAAGGGGGGTTTTGATTTTTTTATGTAGAAATATAAATTTATAATAGCCAATCAAATTTCTCTTATGTGGGAGGAGGGGGGTAGAGAGTATAGTAAAAAAATATTACATTATATCTGTTACTACCCTAATATTTATTACTTAAATATAGAATTGCAAATTCTAATATAATCAATTTTATCAATTATGTTTTTGATTACATTGGAATTTGTAATTGTCAAATAGGGGGAGATTATATTTATATAAGTAGTAGTTTTCTTACAAATTCAGATTGTTTTTATTATTTACAGAATATTATTTAGCTGTTGTAAATAGATAAATGCAATCAATAAAAAACTGGAAAAAAATTATAATTTTAAATATCTAGATATTTATTTGATAGAATATAATACTGTACAAGAAATGTATATTTTTTTTATACAAAAAAACTATATTGCTTTTATTGGCATCTGAAAAATATAGCTAGATGATCCAGTATAACAAATTCAATAAAGTAAAAATTTCAAATTTATAACTAGTATAACTAGTTACTAATAATAATATAAAAAAATATATTATACAAAATAGACTTTTGTTTTTTTTTCTTTTTTATTATTGCACTAAGAAAATTGAATTTCAAATCATTTATTTAAAAATTTTGTTAAAAAGAAAAATTAATAGCTTGTTTATTTAACAATAATAAAAAATTGTAATTTTATAAACTTTTAAAATTCTTAAAATCAACAAAAATTAATTTATTGTATTATAATAGAATAGTTAATAATATTACAAGGCTAGCAACTACTATCCAAAGATCTAATGGATAATCTTTTAGCAAGTTGAAAGCCAGAAGAAAGAAAAATAGTTGCTGTGGCAGATTGCATCTGAGCATCTCGGAGTAGCCAGGTAAGCTTTTATTAAGAAGAAAAAAGAGTTATTGGCATTAGCTAAGAACTTATATTGATTACACATTTCTTATACAATAAAGGCAGGATTGCCAAAAAAAAAAGAATAGTTAATAGGTGATCCACCAGTTACCTGGATAAAAAATTTTTTTTTATATATAAGTTTTACTATAAGTGCGAATGCACAGTGTCTCTATTTAAAACTTTTTTTATACTAAGTAAAACACTCTTTGGCTTCTAACAAAAGTTGTAGAGCTTATCAAAATGTATTTAATACTGCAAAAATATTAAAATTGGACTAGTAGTTCTTGAGAAATCTTTAAAAACTTTCTTTTCATATATAAAATTTTTTTAAAAAAATTTGATTTTTTTAAAAAAAAATTTATATATGAAAAGGAAGTTTTTTAAAGATTTCTCAAGAACTACCAGGTCAATTTTAATATCTTTGCAGTATTAAATACATTTTGTTGAGCTCTTTAGTATAAAAAAAGTTTTAGATAAAGATATTGTATATTTACACTTATAGTAAAATTTATATATAAAAAAAAATTCTTAAACCAGGTGACTGAAGAATTGCCTATTAACTATTAAAAAAAATTTTTTTTTTAACTTTTTCTAACAATTACTTATACCAAAAATTCTAAATATAATTAACAAATTTTTTTAAAATATAATAACTCTTAGTAAAAAAACAGCCAAAAATAAATCTCAAACCTGTAAAATAGCAACTGTTACTATATTTAGAAATAGTTCTCATATGCTATTTGCTAATAGCTTCAGACTTTATTACTTACTACAAGTACAGTACTTGTTATTTAAAAGTAGTTCTTTATATTACTTGCCAACTACAAAATTAATTAATTAAGTTAAAATTAAAACTTTAAAAAAAATTTTTTATATGTTTTAATTAATAACTGAGTGGGTTTTAAAAAATTTTTTTATATAAATTTTATAAATTTTATATATGAAAATTTTTTAAAAAAGCCAGATAGCCAGGTCTATTTAAAAGTTTCATGTTATGAAAATCAAGTAATTAAATTTGTATGACTTCATAATAATATTATTTAAGATAAATTTTTTTTAGAAATAATTTAGATTTAACCAGAAATGAAATTCACCAGTCTAAGAATTTTTAGGATTAGAATGCAGTTTTAAGATAAAGGAGGAGTTTTATATAACATAATGTAAATTTGATATAAAGTCTTAATTTTAGTTCTTGTGAAGTTTTCGAGAGTCCAAACTAGTGTTCCAAATCATTAGTTGGAAAACCAAATAGTTGACAACTTTCCAACTAACTGGTTAGAAAATTTTTTAATCAACTAACCAACTAATTATTCAATT